TTGTAATTGGCAATACTTGATCTAAAATTAGTCACATAAAGATGATAACTGCATGTTTGTGCCAAAGTGTGTAATAAACAATTGGGGCGGTGACAATTCTGAGAATTGTACACACACACTCTCTCTCTCTCACAGCCAGTTGATTACACACACGGGCTCGGCTCAACCTCAGTCAGCATGGATCGCTGTCTATCGATTGGCTGAGCTTTTTTGTCATTCTCAGAGTCTGTCCAATCTGCCATGGAGAGGATTTAAAGAAGGGGGAAACAAGGACAACTCAGCTCAGCTCTATCTTCTCTGTGATCTGCATCCAAACCAGAGCTGTGGACAATCACTACTTGAAACTCATTCAACTGCCTTTTTGATCTTGGCACAAACATGCAAACACCACCCATACTGCACTCCTGGCTCACACATACGCTCCAAGTAACTGGCACGAATGAATGGAAGAGAGACCGTCAGATAGAGAAAGTAAGCAGCCATTTGGAAATGTGTCTATCCATGTTCTGTAGTGGGGATGAATACACTTTCTTGGTGCCAAGAAATAAAATAGTGAGTCACTTAAGAGTAACTAAAGCCTGAGGGAACACATCTATACAGGTATATAAAAAGTCATATGAATGCAAGCACGATGTAACAAACCTGCAATACAGTTCAAATGCAACTTTTTACTGAAGAAAAACTTTGAATGCAATTTGTATTATCACCTATTTCAGCGTCTGCTAGGAAAAACGCTGGGAAAAACACTGGGAAAAACACTGGGAAAAAGATGTGTCCCTCCGCACAAATCTACAGCTCAGCCACTTCCTGCCCTTCTCTTTGCCTCAAGCTTATTTGTGTGTTACTTCACAATCTTAAAAAGAGACAAATTAGGGTGCAAATGTAAAACAAAGCTTTTAGGGTAAAACTTTTCAGTTTTGGTAAACCACAGTTCGTTGTTCTTGGTGAATGCAAACTGATCGACAGACTTTGTACTGATCAAAGTATGTTTAAGACGGTCCGTTTTGTCTCAAAATCAAGAACAATTACTCAGAAGAATATGGGCATTGTCTTCATAATCCTGTTGTTGTTGTTGTAATTGCATTCCCAAATAGAGAAAACTGGCTGCCATGTTTAAGAAACATAAACTCAGCAGCTGTTTATCATTATCAAGTCACTGGTATTGACCAAATACTCTATGGCCTTCCTGCAGATAGATTATGGATATTGTTCTGGTCATGGAGCCGTAGAAATATATCATATTACACCCTTTGGGTAGCAGCTGTGGATGCAGAATCTGATTGAGCTAACAGCTATTGGAAGTCAAACTAGATATGGAGATGGTCAGTATTACATTTGTAACCTGACTCCAACATGGACATGTGAACTCCGAAATATAATTTGAATTATACATTAAACATTACATTTACATCTGTAGTCCTACTCGATGATTCTCAAAGCCACTCACGCAACCTCCCAATGCAAATGCAATGAGCAATGACTGCCTCTATATCTCATTTCTGGTTCTCACTGTGTCTGTATCTCACAACACACACCCGGGCGATGAAACAGCTTGAGCAGATCCTAAACGAGAGTCATTAGAACACATCACAGACGCTCATAGATTGCTTTGAAGATAAAATGAGAGCACCTGCAATGAGAGAGGTAAAAAGCGCGGTAATAATAAAGGGCAGAGATCCTTTCCCTCTTGCATCCTTCAATTATGTTCTGTTTGTCGTAAATCTCTCTCATTATGGCACTTTGAGGAATCAACAGTAACAGTGAAAGAGATGAAATTGAGGAGTAAAGGAGTAAGTACAGATGAATATATTTCTTATACCTTATTATTTATACCTCCCACCAGTGGCGGCCAGCCCATAGGGGCGCTAGGGGCACTAGGGGCGCCGCCCCACCTCTTCCCACATACAAAAAACAAATTTAAAAAAAAATTAAATAAAAAAATATATATTTAAAAAATATATATATTTTATATTTTTATTTTTAATGAACAAGGTAAATATCATACAATTGGTATCAGTAAAATGTATAATCTACAATAAAATCTCGTTTAAAATTGTGTTACCGATAAGTCATATGTTTCCTGCCTGGCCTTGCCCGTGGCATTAGTTTATCATTACCGGGCGCCGTGCAAGGAGCCCCCGAGCCAAACAGCAGCAACCAGCACGTTGCAAAAGTCTCAATAGAAAACTGTGCCGCCGAAACATAATTTCAGCCAATCAGCGCCGTCAAATATTTTGGTCACGAGGGCGCTCACGTTGGCGCTCACGTTGGCGCTCACGTTGGCGCTCACGTTGGCGCCCACGTTGCTTACGTGCGTTGACGTGAGTTGTTTTTTAGACTCGTGAGTAACCAAGGTGACGCAGTAGTTGGATGAGAATGGCTTCGTGTGCAGGTGGAGTCGCCGGACCTCGGTCCCCACCCAATTCCGTTCAAGAGCTAATCTCCAATCCTTTCGAAAGGAGAAGTTTGGGAGATAAACTGTTGCTTAAAGACCTTGGGCCAGACCAACCCGATTTGTATATATCGCAGCAAGCTCGTGAAAAAGACAAAACGTATCAACGAGGCTTCTCACGTAGCTGGTATACCGGGCGCCATGCAAGGAGCCCCCGAGCCAAACAGCAGCAACCAGCACGTTGCAAAAGTCTCAATAGTAAACTGTGCCGCCGAAACATAATTTCAGCCAATCAGCGCTGTCAAATATTTTGGTCACGAGGGCGCTCACGTTGGCGCCCACGTTGCTTACGTGCGTTGACGTGAGTTGTTTTTTAGACTCGTGAGTGACCAAGGTGACGCAGTAGTTGGATGAGAATGGCTTCGTGTGCAGGTGGAGTCGCCGGACCTCGGTCCCCGCCCAATTCCGTTCAAGAGCTAATCTCCAATCCTTTCGAAAGGAGAAGTTTGGGAGATAAACTGTTGCTTAAAGACCTTGGACCGGACCAACCCGATTTGTATATATCGCAGCAAGCTTGTGAAAAAGACAAAACGTATCAACGAGGCTTCTCACGTAGCTGGTATACCGGGCGCCATGCAAGGAGCCCCCGACCGGACCAACCCGATTTGTATATATCGCAGCAAGCTCATGAAAAAGACAAAATGTATCAACGAGGCTTCTCACGTAGCTGGTACACCAGAAAGGCATGGCTAGCTGGATGCAAACAGGTAAATGCTGTCTTTTGTTTCCCATGCTTGCTCTTCAAACAGCCGGGGACAGATACGATCTGTTCAGAAACTAGACAAAAGTTAAACAAGTACAAACCACAGACTGTCTGTGTCATGGAGAATACAGTCGCTGGTTTATTTATGTCTGTATAGGCCGTTGTTGTGAGTGTGGACGGTCGGAGCATATATAACGTTAGCTTAGCCAAGCAACATTTAGAAAACATGCATTTTAAAAGGGTTTTTCGCCTGCCGTCTGTCTGCAGACTTGTCAAAGCATTAATTCATGGTTTTTACTAACCGGTATCAGTATGTTGTTAATTCGGCATCATTTTGAAACGTGTATTACAATTAAATCACGGTAAAATATGTTCATCTTGTTGTAGTTGTAGCCCCCTTGCCAGCGATTCTCTCTCTAGTTTAGCATACTCAGCCCGACTCAGCCTGGTTGTTCCTGGCCCTAGAACCACGATTTTATGGGGCCAGATAAACTGTGAATTAGGACCCGCTAGCCGGTACTAGGCCAAGTGGAAACGCAACCAAAAACGGGCCCTGCACGGCTCGGCACTGTCTGTGTCATGACGAATAGTCGCTGGTTTATTTATGTCTGTAGGCCGTTGTTATGAGTGTGGAGTGAGCATATACAATGTTAGCTTAGCCTGGTCGACCCAATCTCCATTCAGAAAACAAGCATTCTAAAAGGTTTTTTGCCTGCCGTCTGTCTGCAGACTTGTCAAAGCATTAATTCATGGTTTTTACTAACCGGTATCAGTATGTTGTTACGTCGGCATCATTTAGAAACGTGTATTACAATTTAATCACGGTAAAATATGTTCATTTTGTTGTAGTTGTAGCTCCCGAGCGCGTCTTGTTTGAATGATGCGAGTAAACACAGCTGGCAGCCGCGGTGAAACTCGAGCGACTAGAGCGATGCGATAGGAGCGTTTAGAGCGAAGTGAATAATCGCATCGCGTCCGGTCTGAACGCAGCATTAAAGCGAGCTCCGCGCTGCACTGGAAACGCGCCATTACATCACCAGAAGTCCTAATTTAAGGGGTAATTTCTCCCAAAAAAAAATGTTGTACTCACTATATCAACAGCCCCACCAAAAATATTTTCCACCAGCCGCCACTGCCTCCCACATATGTATTACTCTTGCCAGGTGATCTTTTGACAACCTGTAACGTTTTTTCTACTACAGACGATGCATTAGTAACGGTCTGGTTTGACATATAACCCATTCATTTGGATGATACTTCAAAGAGATGGGTCAAATCAGTGTAACTAAGTCTAATTTTCACTCCGTTCAGTGTCCATAGCTGTAGCACTCTCCATTGAGTTCTCAGCGAGCCAAAATGCTTGTAAACACAAAGCAAGTGTTCAGAACTAAGGCAAATTGCCTACTTTGGCAATGATCCAACACTGGCTGGCTAGGCTCCAAAATGACCACAGCTGCAACAAACTCACAAATTGTGAATCAAGGGAACTGGTGCTAAATCGATTCAGTGCTATCAGACAGGAAGAAAGAACGAATCAGGTTAATTAAAGGAATCTGTCACCACCATGGTGCATTCACTTTAAGACACAACCCTGGGATCCCGCACTTCATTTTAGATGATGGAAGAGTGTATAAGGAGACCTCATTTGTTTGATCGGCACATCAAAGACATTACACATAAAGGGAATACATCATCACACTAGAAAAAAGCTCTCATCAAGTAACTCTAAATGACATGTAACAATAAAAACAGACACAATGAGCCTAACATATAAAAAATAAAAACACTAAGATGAGAAAGACAAAAGGAAAAGGGATGATGATAAATCATAAAACATCAACTTACATGGGACTCCCATATCACTCTTTGCTTTGGTCTCAGTGGACAGCTGAAACAATGAACCTTGGGATGAGAAAAGAAGAGGATGGTGGAATGGATGGAGGAAGGGAGAGGAACACAATGATCAAAATCAAACCAATATTTCAAATAAAATGAGACAAACATGGCAGGACATAGACACACAAATGCATGCTCAAGTTATTTGTTGTACCTTCCTTACTTTTCTGTTCTCATACATTACAAAAAATGTAGTTGTCTTAGTCGATACTAAAAATACTCCTCTTAAAGAACAAGGATACACTAAGAAACTCTAGTGTCTGTAAGTCAGTTACTGCTGTGTCATGTTGAGTGGTCAGACTGAAGGTCTATGACACAGATTAACTGCTGATGTACTGATGTATAATTGAAGTGCTGGTGTATAATTGATAAAGGCAAGAACAGCAACATGGTGCACTTAAAAGCTTCTTGCTAGACCAGCTGGATGTGCAAGACACCGTGATCAAGAAAAACAGATGAGGTTAATCGGGGAGATTTGAAATATGTATACAAACAGTAACACTCTCGCTCTGTTGACAGGTAGAATATGCCGTTTCATTTTAAGAAATGCAGGAGCAAGAATTTAACGGTTAATGTATTTGTCAGCATATATCATTCAAGTGTTTATTGGCTTTCTAATCATTTTTGAGTATGGTTCTATTAAATTCCCGTGTTAAATAACTAAGCAGATGACTGTATCTAACAAATGTCATGCTGATTAATGTCAGAATTAGTGATGACAGTAGGAGCAACATGCCATGACAGAAACGTATCATGTTCCAATTATAGCACGATTGTTCAAACAAATATGAAAACATGATGGCAGGAAAATGAAGCGTACATTGTTTGGTAAGAGCCAACAAAAGGGGAAGACACTAGAGATGAGAATAACAAATTAAAGAAAAGGAGAAGAAAACAGCTAAGAAGCAGAGCAGGAATAAAAACATCAATGTGCAGGGATTAGAAGGAACACAAGTGGGAAGAATGGCGCTTTCAGTAAGGAGATGGCTCAAATGATGATCTGCAATACCTGCCGACACGGCTGATGGCTTTGTGTAATACAACAAGAACACAAATCAATGTTCTCTCCTAAAACTAAACTTACATAACAACCACTCTCTCTAGTGATTACTGGTGGTTTTAGAGACCACACAGAAGATTTAATGTGCAGTCGAGGTACTGTTATGTAGCACACACATCCATACTAACGTGTATACAGTACACACAAACTCACACACAGAGTAGGTAGTGAGTGAAATGTCACGCTCTCAAGGATGACGCAGTGGAGCTCTGACTGAATCTGTTCCAAGAATCCTGATCCTTGTGTCAAAAAAATGTCAACAGGCCAATATATATAAAACAACACAAGCTACTCTTAAAAAAAGTCACAAGAAAGAACACACACACAGACTCACACTGATAAACACAAAAAGAGACACTCCACGCAGGGCAGAAGTGAGGTCAAATGGATTTCTACCTCTCGAGATTTAACAGGAAAACTTTAGAAAAAGGGCAGCAGGAGATGGGGGAGGAGATGAATAGAAAGGCGGTGTTGGTGGAAAGAGAATAAGAAAGCGAGAAACAGGAAAAGAGTAGCGAGGAGTGCTTTTAGTGCACAAAGTCAATTACAGTGCACTTTCTGGAAATGATCTCCTCTGAATGAACTGATAGTCAATTTAGAGCATTGACATTATCAGTTTAATCACAACCATGAAACTCTAGATAGCTACTACTTTTAAAAACAGCAATTCAATTGAGTCTAAAGATGTTAAACTGTACATGCCATAGAGATATCCAGCTTAAACAATGCTCAAACTGAATTGTAGTTCATATCAGGAGTTGTGCCAACAGCAGCAACCTCTCTGTCCGTGTAAAGATTACATTTAAAAAATATCTATCATTCAAAAACCAATAAGAAGAAAGGTACAAGATTCACTTCGAGCCTTTTAAAATATACTCTTCCTATAAAATGTTGCGCATGCAGAAAACCCTTCTGACGCACGCACGCACCGAGACACACACACAGACACACACACACAAACACACACACACACACACACACACATACACACACACACACACACACACACACACACACACACACACACACACACACACACACACACACACACACACACACACACACACACACACACACACACACACACACACACACACACTTACACTTCATGGATTCCTGTAAATGCTACAGGAAACAGTTGAAACATTAGTGCCGACATAAAACCACGTCTGTGGAGTCATTTCAAAGACAGAAAATCAATCATGGGAAATGAGCCTAAATCTATACCTCTCTAGGTTTGATCCCAGATTCTGTGGCCATACCTCACCGGCCTCAGGGAATCCTTAGGATGGAGGAGACACACTATATAACACACTTCTTAAGAGCGGGCAGGGCTCTGCATATACAGTAACTTCTGTCAATAATGTGCCTACAGGCAAAGCTTTTTGAAGGATGATATAATAATATCCCATTGCTCATGACATAGACCATCAATTTAATCATCACAACCACTGCCCTCAGGCTGCGGAGAGAGGTCCCTCACACAGGTAACAGCCCACTTGAAGTCTTTATGCTCAATGATAAAGTATATTTACCTCCTGAACAGAACTCCTGACTGGGTGCTTGGGACTTGTTTAATTGTATTTGACCAGGAATGCCTAGTAAAGATTCAAATTCAATTTTTTGAGAGTGCCCAAACCACAATATGGCAATATGAGTTAAGGTCAGATAAAGCTCCATATGATACACATGGAAAAGGTATATTTGAGAACCATAAGATTACAGATAAGATATTTGGGTTAATACCTAAGATAATAAAGAAATAACACACTCGATAACTCAGAAGTATATCTTGAAGACAGACTTGGAGTCACCTTGGACCCAATTTACACAATTTGTCCCGGATCAATGGGACATCACATTTCACAGTTTGCCTGAATGTACTTGCCATATTGGAAAAAACTGATTTCAATATCGACAGACAAAAACATCTTAAAACAAATGCATATATGATCAGATGGAACAAATCATTCTTGGTTATGAAAGAAATTGTTAAATGATTGATGTTGTGTGAAAAGAAAAAACAATGGAAATGTATGGCATGATTAAAAGCAGAAGTTGGTATGTGATTGACTATTTTTCTGGGCTGACCTCTTTTCTGCACTCTGAAAGGCAGATGCTTGTCTGCCAATTACTCCGAGTAAACGGAGTAAAAGCACTGTTCCTGAAAGTAACAAATGAAATTGCCTCGGAAAAACCGCTTCTGTATTTGTGCCATTATGACTCACTCACATTTTCCATGCTGTTTTGAAATGTACAACCATTTTCTTTTAATGGCGTAAACAAATATTAATTTCTGGGGGGGATTTTGGATAGTTGTTCCATGTCATTATCTAACATTACTTTCCTTATAAAACATGTGTTTGTGACCTGAGTAATGGACAAGAAAGTACAAGAGCAATTTACTAGGAAAAAAACAGGTAGCTCCTGGAGAAAAGCATAAAACCAGAGTGTCTGTATACGAAACATGAAGTATAGATCATATACTAATAATCATCAATGTAATTGTCAGTGTAAATTCAATCACTACCTTTCGGCTTCATTTAATCTTGATTATCTCATAAATTCTCCCGCTATTACTAATCAGCTTATTGTGGGCTTCTACTTTTCAGTCAACCAACCACATTTTGCCATGTTCTACAGCCAGCTGTCATTTCAGGTGACATTGTTCCTGCCCTCCTCCACACCATTCACTTCCTGTCTTCATTTCCAGGGCCCAGGTTCACCTTATCAGAAGTCCACTCGTCATCAAATCCAGATCTTCATCATTCTCTTTGTATCATCCCCATTATCAGTGTCTAGACCCCATTGGACGACTTCACAACCCCTCAAAATATCTGATATCATGATTAGCTTAGTCGCTAAAGACTATTCACATGTTCTCTTGTGCACATGTTTGTTTTTTCTAATAAAAATAGGTCTCTCGCTATTCAAATACTAAATAACAGAATGTAACATTAAATTCATTTTTAAAAAATTGAAAAGTTGTCTCAATATCTAAAGTGCTACTGAGTTTTTGGCTGGTTGTACAATGATATTATATTTAATATTTCATACACACAAAACACTTGATCAAGTTTTTTATAAATGCAAAGTTTTATTGAACTACCAACTACACAGCTAAACTATTAAACAGGCAAATAAAGGAATACATGATTAACTTGATGAATAAATGATGAATAAATGAGTACAAAGAATACAATGATGAGCAATTAATTATGAAACAGGACCACCGTATAGACCAGTTAAAACCAGCAAGTGACCATGGAATAAACAGGGTACCACTAAGCAGGAGTTAATGGATATTGCTGGATTTGTGGAAGACTAGAATTTAACTGATCTTGTTTTATAGTCTGCGAGCCAGGGGTCCAGTATCACTGGCTTAAACATTGCTTTACATAATTAAAATGAAATAATCATCGCATATCTAATTATTTCATATTGTAAAGTATGCAAAGCAAGTGAACGGATGAACTTAAATCATTTGATGTGGTCTTTTGGAATGTAAATGAGAGGGGATGAGACAGGACTGTGTGTGTGTGTGTGTGTGTGTGTGTGTGTGTGTGTGTGTGTGTGTGTGTGTGTGTGTGTGTGTGTGTGTGTGTGTGTGTGTGTGTGTGTTGTGTGTGTTATTCCTACTCCTGATCCTGCTTTTTTGTTCCAATTAAGGGATTGAGATATTCGAAGAAGGAGCAAATCAAAGAGCAATCCTCCGGAATCGTTACATTCTTTGTTGTCAACTCACTTTGCATACAGAGTCCATCGGTACAGTTCTGAGACAGGAGAACCAGCCCATCACAGTCCTTTCCTCCGTTTTTAGGTGCTGGGTTGTTGCACTCCCTCCTCCTCCACTGGGTACACTCTGTCCCACAGGCCGACCACTTGCTCCAGTCTGTCCACACACCGTCCACTAGAGGGAACATGGTAAAAAGAGCCAAGAGGATGACAAACTCAAATAAAGAGGAAAAACAGATATTAAAAAGTATTCAATCCTCAATTCTTTCCCATTTTTATTTTTTAATGTTACCTTTATTTAACCAGATTTGTAATCTTAATGAGACCTATGTCTCATTGAGATTACAAATCTCTTTTTCAAGAGAGTCCTGGCCTAGGAATGTTAACAGCACAGTTACAGACAATTTTAAAAACACACAATCACAACAGGTCATACACAAAGTTTAGCCAAAGCATTTACAGACACAGTGGCCTGCTTCAAGGTCAGTTAGAGTAGCTTTTAGTCTGTTTAATGGGACCAGCTCTCTGAGTTTCAGCCCGATTTGAAGCTGGTTCCATGCTTCAGGAGCAGCATAACTAAACACCATCTTCCCCAGTTCAGCACGGACTTTTAGTACAGTTAAAAGGAAAAAGTCCTCGGAGCGAAGCCGATAAGATCCTGTGCATTTTCTGTTTATGTAGATCCTTAAATAAGTTCCTTGTTTAGCTCTTGAAGTTTAGCACACTTAAGAAAAGGATGCATTAAAGTCAAAGTGATTTGCAGACAGTAGATTTTACTCAAACAAATTAGCACCTAACCTTATACATCTGGATAATTGGAGTGAACAGACTCACCGGTGCACAGTGTGGTACAGGCCAGTTTCTGAATGGCCTGTCCATCACAAGGCAGTCCTCCGTTCAGAGGGGCGGGGTTAGTGCAGCTGCGGGTTCGTTTCTGGAAGCCCCGCCCACAACGGCTGTTGCACACAGACCACTCCGTCCACGTGGACCAACCACCGTTTACTGTTGCAAGAGAGATCAGTAAGTAAATAAAAAATACAATATACAATACAAACAGCAAACAATCATGTGTTTTTGGAGAGTTTTGGAGTGTTTTTGATTTTACGCTTTGTTAAAAGTACTAATTGTAAGGCGCTGTTATTTTCAGCTCTAAAATAAGTGGCATAATATAGAGATCCTTAACACAGCACAATCATCGACGACATCTCACATGCATACTATAAGAACTTATACTTAAGCATTTGTCAGATGTTGATTTTTTTTTTTTTAAATTGCCCCTTGAGGAAGAAATCAAGTATTTTGAAAATAATTGAACAGCAAACATGTTCATAAAAAAGAGATCTGTAATGAAGAAGCATTTAGATGGGCAGTGAGTGCAATACAATCATATTCCATCACAGAGTAATCATATTCAATGGAGAGAGAGAGAGATCTATTTGTTGTACTGTTGTTTGTTTTGATTGGGAAGTTTAGTGTCAAAACATTCTCCTGCACTATTTTATCTGTTTTATTTTGTTCTATGTCCTATATTCATGTTGCACTGTTGGAGGAGCCTGTGACTTAAGTTTTTCATTCCATATCTACACTGTAGCTAATGTGCAATAAAGCCTTGAAAGCCTGTCTAGTCTAGGCATGGTAAACACACATCAATTGACATACTGCCTGCATATTGCTTAACCCCAAAGTAAGGTGGTTTTTATAATCCGTAGTTTCTCAGAAAATGGTTTTCCACTTCCTCCCTTGTTTTCTTTGTACCATCTAAATATTTACCTTAATCATGTCTAATTTAGACTTAACTGTTGCTTCATTATTTGGTTTTACTGATATAAATAAATATGTTGCAGCACAAGACATAGAACAAGAAGGGCAGACTATAGAGCAGCAACAAAAATAGTTATAAAGTTTGTGAAGTGTATTAAAATTCCTCTGCTGCGTCTCCACAGCTCTGTCTCAGCCCAGTGGACCAACTCCTCTTCTATGCCCAATTACAAATTCATCTTTAGAGAGTAACAGGTTAAATCAGGTAAAGTACATTTTTCATATTTTCTTTCCTCATTCACTCCGCTGCTTCTCTCCCGCTCTGGTCTCCCTGTGTCTCTCCTTTCTCCTCACCTGTCTCACAAACATCTATAGCCACTCCATTTCTTTCCATTATGTTCGTCTGTTTTTTCCCCGCTATTATTTCACCTTGTCAACAGTGTCAGTCGAGCCTTTGTGAAGCCGAGAAGATTGAACCACAGATTGAACAATCTATTTCTGTAAGGATACATCAGTGTCAAACCACTCCATCTCTCGCTGTCTGTATCGAACACGGACTCATGCACGGTTATTTTTGATTGAAATACTCCGGCTAGTGATAGACACAGTGTTATACTTGAGAGAAACACTGCGTGTGTGGTATGTTTATGAGTTTTGCCATACATTGCTTTTTTCCTCCAAATGTTTCCTATCCTCTCATGTCAGCCTGGCATTTGGTAAAATGGAAATAGAGAAAAAACACGGCAAGAAATACAAGGCATCTTCCTCAACAAGCTTTTTCCTGCCAGACTTCAGCTCGGCTTGAAAACCAAACTCACACCATTCAGAACTGAGCATCTCAAAGTTTTTGTTGTTTTTCACAGCTGTTATCATGCCATATGCTGCACAATCCATTTGGTGTTGGTCTCTTGGCTGACAGCACAGATATTTGGAAAGCCCAAGTGTTTTAATTTAAACCTGAAGGCGTGATTGGTAGATTATAATTGGGTGAGGTGTGGGAATATAAAGCTAATTACAAAAAGAGCATGTTGGCATGGCAGTAGAGCTCATTTCATGTGGCAGATGGGGGCTGGGCTGGCTGATCAGATGCATTGTCGGTTAGCTGCAGCTAGCATTTAAAAAATGTCATATATGTGAAATATTCAGACACAAAACATGTCACCTACTGTACACACAAGAACACGGAAAAAGTTAAAGCTTTTTAGTGAGAATATAATGTTTTCATTCACACTCACAAATACCGACATGTTTGAAAACTGACCGTAAACAATAATCGTCGCTGTAGTGCTTCGTCTTTTGGCCACGATGTTCTTAGCCACGCAGGTGTAGTTGGCTGTGTCCGACAGACGGGCCTGTTTGATGATCAGGTTGTGGTCGATGGTGATGTAAAAGTTTCTGTCCTCTGCCGGGTCAATTATCTCTTCGTTCTTCAACCACTCCACCTGGGAGGGATAAAGACAGAAGAACATCAGATTCAAAGTTTCTCTACAATGTTATAAACAAAGAGAAACGATCAGAAAAAGGTCATGAGAATAAAAAGTAATTTGTGTTATTGTGTAATAACAATATTGAGCTTTTGACTTATCTGATTTTATGGTGGAAAGGTGTATTTCTGCTATAAAGTCAAACCAGATTAAAATATGTATTTTTTGCCGCTATATTATATATTGCCAGCTAAAATAAAAGTATAGGATCAGTCTATAATCTTGTTTTCACAACTGATGGTCTTGAAAGTGGTATTTATCTTAAAAAGTCTATAATCAAGTTGAGGGGATTTTGTATAATCCTGTTTGTCCAATGTTTCCATGTTTGAAAAAAAGGTACAATGAAAGATCTTATAATAGGATGCTGGTGTCATCTTATTTTCAATTATTCCCAACAAAAAAGCTTTGAAGATGTGTCACAAATCTGAGTAAATAAATACAATCTGAAAGAAAGGAAACTGTGGTGAAAACCAAGGCATTCTTGAATTTGCAATTATTTATCCTCTAGATAACACAGAAGATGCAATAACACATTGGTACAATTATTTTCATTTATAGTAGGTTTTAAAATAAAATACATTTTAAACAAGCCAATAAACACACTTTTAGGGTAGAAAATACTACTAATATACAATACATATTGAACAATGAAATGTTTTCCAACCCGACAAGGTTAATTAAGCAAGTCACAGAAACATACATTTGTAACAGCAAAGACACACATCTTATGGGCCGTTCACAATATGGGTGGCAGTGCAGAAAAGGAGGGAAATGTCCTGAACATATGCTTCCGCAAGGGCCGGACAGCAGGAAACTATCCTATTTACGAGCCTAATCACATTTCCTGAGTGCTGTATTTACTGGTCCAAAGCCTCATAAACTCAGCCTGTCCAAGCTTTATAGCAAGCACATAAATGTCCGAGCCACGTTGTTTGATTCACGTAGTTTAATTTCCTCCTCCCTTCACATTAGGAAATGGGAATCTCAGATGCAGAAAAGAGGAAATTCAGTGTTATTCTTCAGCTTACTGTCTGCTCAGCCTCGGCTGTCAGTCTTCTCTCAGTTATTCTACCTGCTTCCCTCTCTGATCTTTAGAGATTTGGCAGTGCTCTTTTGGCCATGGGGCTCACTGTAGCCTTGCATTCTCAATCTTAAGTGAGATGCCGTGTGACCTTTTAGATTCTATTATAAAGGAAAGGTTATACTGGAGGGAAAATACGACAAACAAACCACAACACACGTATATATACAGTTCAGTGTGAATGTTCAGGCAAAGAGTTCATGCTCGAAATGTACAAGTGCAAAAAAGTGTAGGTGCTAAACAAATACAAATACAATGTGTGTAATACAGACTTCCATTCATACATGCTCAGAATAGTATAATAAGCAGTGGTCAAAGAGGAACACTATCTTTGCATTGCCAGCACCAATTGGGAATAGCCACAACTTTACTACATATAACATTTCCAACAGTTCTCTGTTGGGTTGATTTGGGGACTACGTAAAATATTCAAGCACGCAGGGCAAGTCACTGTAATCCCCCTTGATTCCCCCCCGAAAATGTATGTTATGGCCCATTACGCTGCTAGGAATATTGATTTGAATAAAGGCAAGACTTGAGGCCATGATTAAAAAGGTCCACCATGACACAGCTTAGTCACTTATTCTGATAGAAAAGCAAACACAAATCTAAAGTGAAGTAAATCCACATTATAAAACAGAGTATGAGTAATTCTCAAGCCTCTTCAAACACGTATAATAATAATAATAATAAATTCGATTTTTAAAGCACCTTTCATTGCTAACAGCAATCCCAAGACTCAACACTCAGATTTAGAACTAACTAAGATTTAGATGTTGTAACACTGCTGTTCATATATTGAACCATTTGATTAGCTTCTTTGTTACTTAATTTGAGCCAACACTGTTAATAAACTACTGTCAGTCAACAAAATCCATGAGGACAAACTTGTCTTCCTCCTTTAAAAAAGTAACTCGAAGTCCACTTTCAATTAACCTGGGGGACCTCTGCTTTATGAATTGCTTACTCGATTCCTTCTGCAGTGGTAAAACAAATGCACAAAAGATAGATGATAGTGTGTGTATGTGTGTGTGGGCTTTTGTTAAAAGATAACAACTTTAGAATGTTTTTCTAAGTAATCCTTTAAAAGTACTCCATAAAATGAAGAACACATACAAGGCTGTGATCAAACATGACTTCCATTGTAGGCATTATGTATTAATGTAATCCGTTGTTCATGTAATCAATTCATGAATCATTCTAGCTTGTGCCGTGAGCTTAGGGATTGTTACAAAATGTCATTAGAGCATAACATTATATCTGAGATGTAGGATCAGATCATGTCCCATCAAAATACTCATACTAATACAGGCCTATGATGGCAGCTGATATTAATAGTAGTTGTGTGATGATGTAATGAAAATAGCCACAGTCTTTGATGATGCCTGAAGGTGGAAGCTTGTGAGACTGATGTGTGCTCTGCTGGGTTCAGACAAAGAGACCACATGTGGTGGCTATACTACCACTGCCACCGCATCATTAGCCACAGCTGGTGTCAAAGAGAGAAATTGTGTGTGTGTGTGTGTGTGTGTGTGTGAAAATGGCAAAGGGTGGCTGATTGGATCAAGCCAACCTCAGGGGAGAATGTGTATTTGTTATTTTAACTCTTGCCCCTGCATCACCTCTGTCTCCCCAACACACATACACGCAAGCATGCACGCATGGACACATGCACACACACCCCCACACACACAAATGACAATACTTCAAAAGCTTGCATTATGTGATCACAAACACCATACGACAGCTTTGACACACTAAAACATGCACAAACATAAGCAATGCTATTGTCCTCTGTTTAAACTGTAACAGGATTTAAAAAGGTTCAAGAAGAGTCCAATCCTTTTTTTCCTTTAGACAAGGAAATGAAATGGCTTTCTTTTCAAAGGGATAGAGGCTTTGTCTGATCAATTACACACTTCCTTTGTTCATGTTTTATTTCGGCTTGACCCAATGACTGACACATACATTTTACCTACAGGTATAATTAAAATCTTGAGCGCCTGAATACAAGATAAAAGCATATTTGTCTTTCCTTAGTTCTTCATAATGTACGTGCTTCTAGTGCTGGGAATCTATAGGTTACTTACGTAACCCCAGTTCTCAGAGTAACATGAAGTGAGATGTCTCACTATGGGATGCGCCTCATCGCGGAGCAAACAGAAGCATCAATCTCATTACGCCAATCCTGATTGGCTGGTGATCTTGACGTCAGCGTCAGGGAATTCACCCCCTATAAGTAGCTTGCTCCACGACGCATGCGTCATTCAAAATAAGCACCTCTTCTCGCTTCACCATAGCAAGGAGGGCCGTCTGGTGAGACATCTCACTTCATGTTACTCTGAGAACTGGGGTTACGTAAGTAACCTATAGTTCTCATTCATAACACTCCGTTCGATGTCTCACTATGGGAAATTGTAGCTCCCGTATTGTCAGACGAGCTTATCTCAAAAATCACCAAACCAACCAGAACTTAACAGGTAGAGCTCTGACTCAACCAGGTGCCCAGCACTGCTTGAGTCACACTGGGAGCAAAAGGTCCAGCCTGTTAAGAGGCGGACAAAAGTGAGCGGCGAGGACCAGCTCGCCGCTGCACCAATGTCTTGGATGGGAGACATCCTGGACAGAGCCCAGGATGCAGCCAGACCCTGAGTCGAAAGAGCTCGCGGACCCAAGGGTGCCTGCGAACTCTGACTCGTATGGGCCCCAAAGCAATTGCTTCCACAAACCAGTGGGAGAGCCGTTGCTTAGTAACAGGCTTGCCTTTATAAGGGTTAGCCCAGGACACAAGGGGTTGGTCATTATGACGAAGCACCCTTGATCTGTCCCTGTACGTGCGTACAGCACGGGCTAGACACGGCAAATCCGGCCGCTGTTCCCCGGAGGAATACAGTGGCGGGGAGGATGCCTCAATGTCAAATGTGGTACCTGAACCAACCGCCTTAAGATAAAGGCAGGGTTGGGCTTCAACCACACTCTGTTTGCCCTGGGGCGAACTGAGTGCATGAAGACTGTACAGATAGTGCATGAGTGCCACTGGCTCGCTTGGCAGCTGCCAGGGTCAGCTTCATGTCACACTGTATTCAGATTGTACCACTCACGGGCCAGGCCCATAGAGCCAAGCGCTCTGGGTGTGGGTGAAAGATCGCCCCCCCCGCTTGGGACAGTATGTCCCTGCGTAGTGGGAGCTGCCATGGCTGCCCGCACAGCAGCTGATATATCTCCGCTAGCCAGTAGATAGCTGGCCAGTGCGGAGCTATCAGGATAAGTGTGTGGCGTTGTTCCCTCACTCTGGCCAGAGTTGGGGGTATCAGAGCCAGGGGTGGGAACGCGTACAGAAGGCCCGGGGGCCAATCGTGCGCGAGTGCATCCACGCCTAACGGTGCATTTAGATCGCGCATCGAAAAGAACAGCTGACACTGAGCGTTGTCTTTCGATGCGAACAGATCCACCGCGGCTCTGCCGTAACGCACCGACAGCTGGCTCACAATCCTTGGATGTAGAGTCCAGTCTGCATAAAGTGGTATACCTCTGGACAGTAGATCTGCCCCGAGGTTCCTCACTCCCGGTACGTGCGTCGCTCTCAGAGAGAGGAGACGTCTACTGCTCCATAGGATCAGTTTGCGCGCCAGTGTGTGTATATGGAGAGAACGCAAACCCCCTAGGCGGTTAATATACGATATTGTGGTCGTATTGTCTGTCCTCACGAGGACGTGATGTCCCCTGAGGAAAGGGAGAAAGCGTTTTAGGGTGAGAAACACCGCTAAAAGCTCCAGGTAATTTATGTGCTTCCGCTGGAGGTCTCTGCTCCAGAGACCCCTCACCAGGCGACCTTCATAAATACCTCCCCAACCTGTCAGACATGCGTCCGTGGTGA